TGGTGCTTTTCTTTTTGCTCTATCTTAATTAGATCAAAAGTTATAAGCGAAAAACTTTTGACCTGTTTTTAGCGAATTTTTTACATTTATACCCCCCAAAACCCCCCTAAATATTGACCTAGAGCAACCAAATTTGCACAGGGGCGAGAATTCCAGGGGGCCCGGCCCACCTACCTACCAAATTTGGTGTTTCTAGGTGCCATAGGAGCCAATCGCGAGGGGGGTCGCATCGACCCCCCCCCCCCCTGCCAGGCCGTGTTATGAAAAATGCCCTGCCAGGGCGAGGGTTAAAGCGAAGACTAAGAGGCGGGTTAGGGCAAATTTGTGGAGGGATGAGTGCAACCTCCCAGCCAGCAATTTTGCTCCGGGCCCAAGCAGGCTCAAGTGCGGATTGCCCGAGATTTTTAGTCGGGCTAAAGTCGGCTAGGGCTTGGGCTAAAGTCGGCGTATGACACAGAAACGCCGACTAAAGCCCATGCTCTGCCGGAGGTATGCCCGCTCTGCGAGCTCCGGGCAGCCGTAGTTTAGCCCTAGTTGAGCGACGATTGGCGTTAGCCCGATTTAAGCCCAAGCAGTGAATCCATTTATATAATGGAAATTACTCTGGGCCCGAGCGGGCTGAACTCCGGCAAGCCCACTCTGTGTGCCCTGTCTATCCCGACTTAAGCCATAGAGGTGAATGGGGTTTATACATTGCAAACTGCTGTGGCTTTGCTCGGGTTCGGCTCGAGTGACGGCTCCTGTTTTCTCAAGTCTCGACTTGACTTCATCTTGCTTTTGCTTCACACTGGATCAAGTAGCAAGGAGCAGCCAATGCACTTTCAGCAGGTTGTGTGGTTTTAATGCATATTCAAAATTGCTACGGTCACTCATATGCTCTGTTAACCGGTCATCGAGCATTGCGAAAGGAAAGTAGCGGTTGACTTTGATTGAATGTTTATTTCAAACGACTACAGACACGTCAAATGAAACACAAAAACATAAAACAGTGGACTGCAAACTGCAGCAATAATATGACATGAGTCATGAAAAAGCGCCATCAAAACTATAAATCAATCACAAGACCCGCTAGCCTTCCTCCCCGTTCGGCGTTCATAATACTTGGTTGAACACTTAACCGAAAGCATAAAGTAAGGACAGCAAGTAATCGTTCATAAGACATAAAGCAATTAGCAAACAATCGTTTATAAAGAACTTCACTCTGGTGAATGGGAGCTTTGGAGGCGTCTGGCTCCTCCACACACACACATCTGCAGTAGGTGGTCGGCCAGCTTTCGGCGCAGTTTCCGTATATGTAGGTATACCTATGTATTAGGTCGTTCGATAAGTAACGAACAATCGGTCATAACTTCTTTATTTCTTTATTTAACACTTTAAAACTTTCACAGATTATAGATCAGACATTTCTGAATGCAGCCTATGCCTCAAACCAGTCGCCGCCCGCCTGCACACACTTCTCCTGCAGCGTTCCGGCCAACGCCGGAATTCCGCCCGGAAAAACGTGTTTTCCGTCTTTTTCACCCAGTTCATGACAGCGCACATGACTTCAGCGTCGGTCTCGAAGTGTTCACCATGGAGGCCATCCTTTAGGGGACCAAAGAGGTGAAAATCTGAAGGAGCCAGGTTCGGATTGTAGGGCGGCTGGGACATGATATTCAGCCCTGTCACGCGATCTCCTCGCGCGTGGCGTGAGACAAGTGCGGTCGGGCGTTGTCATGGTGTATGGTGATGTTGTTGACATCCGAGCCGCGCCTCTTCTTCAGGATTGCTTTTCTCAGTCTCCTGCAGGACTGTGATGTAGCGGCCCGTTGTCCATAGTCCGCCCAGGTTCAAGAAAGCCCACCAGGATGACACCATGACAACGCTCGTCCGCACATGTCTCACGCCACACGCGAGGAGATCGCGAGACAGGGCTGAATATCATGTCCCAGCCGCCCTACAATCCGAACCTGGCTCCTTCAGATTTTCACCTCTTTGGTCCCCTGAAGGATGGCCTCCGTGGTGAACACTTCGAGACCGACGCTGAAGTCAGGTGCGCTGTCAAGAACTGGGTGAAAAAGACGGAAAACGCGTTTTTCCGGGCGGAATTCCAGCGTTGGCCGGAACGCTGGGAGAAGTGTGTGCAGGCGGGCGGCGACTGGTTTGAGGCAAAGGCTGCATTCAGAAATGTCTGATCTATAATCTGTGAAAGTTTGAAAGTGTTAAATAAAGAAATAAAGAAGTTATGAACGATTGTTCGTTACTTATTGAACGACCTAATACTTAATTATAAGCAGACAGTTTCCGCTAAACCACTTGGCGAGGGCGACAGCGGCGTCCACCCGGTCCTGGTTTGTATAACTATTCCACTTTTTGGAACAATTTGCTCTAATGGTACGTACCTGAAAAAGAGATCAATTGGTTTAATTTACATTGCATGTTTGCTTGAAAAATAACTTATTGTTGCATTAATACTGTAACAGCACTTCTCATTGATCCGTATAAAATGTTCATTCGAATTTTTCAACGCGGACAGAGAATGAGCGTGCTCGGTGATAAGTAGATAAATATTTGTGTTTTGTATCTCATTTTCCTGGTTCAGAAGTGCTGGTATTTCACAAAGATATACATAAAGGCACGGAATGCGGCTTTTCTGAGCGAGGGTATAAGTCGCCAGGCTGAACAGCTATTCAGCTTCATGTTTGATGGCGTGAAACTCAGTCAAAATAATGACGTTTACATAGGGTAAGTGGCTCCTATGACGCACACTTCCTAAAAGCGCACACCAAGAACTTTTTTTAATGTAGTTCCTTCAGCAGAAGCCAGGAACGAAAAAGTCAGCTGTCAATCACTTCCAGCGACATTTGTGCTGCGTGTGGACGGCGGTGGGGTGTTGTCGGCTCAAAAGGTGAGTAGTTATGGCGGATATTGTGATTGAGGTGCAATGTTTCTTCAGCAAAAAAGTGCCTGAAGCAATAATGCATGTTTTAAGACGCATGCACTTCTCGCGTAAACCTGAATAGGCCGGAAAGATCGATGGGCACTGACCGAATGGCAATGAAACGGGACTCAGTTTAGGCGTGCATGCTTTACTCAGAATGCGTCAGTGCTGACGGGAGGGGGCTGAATGTCAGGTGTGCGTGTTTAGGGCAACTGGTTCTGCAATGACGCACACTTTCAGTGCTGCAAATGCGCACAGTACATCTGATGATTATCTAGCCTTCTTTCTTACAAGGAACAGCTTATATCACGATGAATTGACATGCTAGGCATTGGCACAGTGTAGAATGCGGCATTGAGCTCCACTCCGGGCGGTGGAGCTGGCAAAACGGTGGTGAAGCTGGACGCCGGGCCCGGGAGCTCGGCATGTGAAGCCGGGCCCGGGCGCTCGACTGGTGACGCCGGGCCCGGGCGCTCGGCTGGTGACGCCGGACCCGGGCGCTCGACTGGTGACGCCGGGCCCGGGCGCTCGGCTGGTGACGCCGGACCCGGGCGCTCGACTGGTGACGCCGGGCCCGGGCGCTCGGCTAGTGACGCCGGGCCCGGGCGCTCGACTGGTGACGCCGGGCCCGGGCGCTCGGCTAGTGACGCCGGGCCCGGGCGCTCGGCTGGTGACGCCGGGCCCGGGAGCTCGGCAGGTGACGCCGGGCCCGGGCGCTCGGCATGTGAAGCCGGGCCCGGGCGCTCGACTGGTGACGCCGGGCCCGGGAGCTCGGCTGGTGACGCCGGACCCAGGCGCTCGGCTGGTGACGCCGGGCCCGGGAGCTCGGCAGGTGACGCCGGGCCCGGGAGCTCGGCAGGTGACGCCGGGCCCGGGCGCTCGACTGGTGACGCCGGACCCAGGCGCTCGGCTGGTGACGCCGGGCCCGGGAGCTCGGCAGGTGACGCCGGGCCCGGGAGCTCGGCAGGTGACGCCGGGCCCGGGCGCTCGACTGGTGACGCCGGGCCCGGGAGCTCGGCTGGTGACGCCGGACCCGGGCACTCGGCTGGTGAGCCGGGCCCGGGCGCTCGGCAAGTGACGCCAGGCCCGGGCGCTCGGCTGGTGACGCCGGGCCCCGGAGCTCGGCCGATGGAACATCTCGTGCTGACTCCGTATCCATGCGGGACGACGAAGAACTAGATAGAAGTCTGCATGACGTGATGCCAACCCCTCGCGTGCACAGGAAAGGTAAGCGAAGGGCAGTTAATAGAGATGCTGTGCTGGTAAAGAGGGCATTGCTTGAGTCCGACGGTAACAAGAAAAAACAAAGAAAACAGCCAAATATGGACACGTGAAAATAAAACAGGTAAAGCCCAATGAAGACCAGTCATCAGAAAGTGAGACGACATGCATATACTGCTGCATGAAGTTTTCACGATCGTGTGAAGAGTGGATACAATGTCAAGTGTGCACTGGCTGGGCATGCGTGCCATGCACTGACCTGACGCTGAAACAAAACAGACCAGTTTCACTTGTGACCTCTGCCGACAGTAGATACTGGGTCAGTGAAAAGGTTTCGAGTTCATGATGTGTTCATGATGCGTTCATGTTCATGGTGTGTTTCATGATGTGTCGAGTTCAAAGTTCATGATGTGCTCATGGTGTTCAACTTTGAAATAAAGTGATTTATTTGATCAATACCTCGACATGTTTATTAAACCTGTTGGAATTGTTCTTGTGCGCATTTGAGGCAGCTGAATGTGCGTCATAAGAGCACCGGTGCTCTATTAGCGCACGTCGGACGTTGGTGGATGTTTTGCCTTAAGGCCTGGCTACACTATGCGTTTTCTGCGTGCGTTTTGTGCAAGTTTGCGTGTTTTGCGTGAAATCGTTCTCGAAAAAAAGTTCGTGCCATTGCTCAGCATTAGGCGAACTACACTGCAACGACGTCTCGTAAAAAACGCAAACTCGGATAAAACGCAGAACGATAAAACGCAAAGATCGCCTGCATGACTCAAGAGATAACGTTGCTTGTGACATTAAACGATAAACATTTTATTAAATGCATATCAATATAATGATTGCGGAATAACTTATTCACTTCAATTTTTCCGGCACGTTTGCGTTGTCATGGTAACCATGGCGGCGTTCTATATTTGCCAGAGCTCTTTGCACACTGTCCGTGATTTGATTTCAAGCTGAACAGTTCGATAAGTACCCATTTATACGGCCTTGGTACCCATAACCTAGGTGAAGAAATCGTTCAGAATTTCTAGAGTGATATATTAAAATTTAACAGTTTGATTGGTGACTGGAAAAATATTGTGATTCCGTTTCATTCATGGTGAAGCGAGGCGGAAGAGATCATGAGTGAAGGTAAGTAGGATAGGATCGTCAATAGCTATTCATGTTTCATAAACGTCCCTTTCTGACTTTCTGCATGATATGTCAGCTGTCACTTGTCAGTCAGTCGATCAGTTTATTATATTCCTCAATTCTTCTAAGTTGTGTAGCACGTTCCATAGTTTTTTTTTTCAACACTGACAGTTGACACCATCAACCCTCGCCGGACCTATTGGTTTTCTACATACGCCGCGGCCGAGAGGGGGCGGGGGGGAGTTGGTATCGCTCCCCTCACGGTTTCGCCCCTAATAGAGCTAGAGCCTCGCGGAAAAACGAGCTGTGCGCCGTTACGAGCCGCAGCGATTTGTACCCAATTTTAAGCTGTCAGGTCAACCAGTGACTTCTGAGGTCAGGTCAAGTGGCCCAAGACACGGGTTCGGTTTTTGGTAAATAACTTCGCAAAAAAAAAAATGGTCAAAGAGCCGCGATTTTAGCATCATCGTGTTCGCCTCGCTCAGACGCGTCGAATGGTATACATTGTGTTCGGGTGAGGTCAACTTAACCCGCGCCCCGTAGGGGGGGGGGCGTTTCGGCCCCCCCCCCTGTCCTTTTCCGTCGATATCTCCTAAACGGCTGCAGATATCGCCACCAAACTTTCAGGGCCCCTCCGGGCATCAATTTTACACATTGTGACTAAACATTTTTCCAGAGGCTATGATAGGATGGCCACAAATGACGTCAGAATGACGTCATGTTCTGCCATTTTCGACCGAAAAAAGAGCTTCGCGAGAAGGGCTGTCAGGCCTACAGCTTTGAAGATACAGAAAAATGATCAGACATAAAAGGTGTATAATTGACAGGGCTACAAAACTGCCATCTCGGATTTTTGAAATTTTTGGATTTTAACCCCCCATAATCAAAAATGTATTTTTTTTATATATAAGCCAAAAAATCCAAAAAGTTTTTTGAGTTTTGAAAAAAACGGAATAATTATGATAATACCTACCGTCTTCTATCTACATACCAAATTTCATATCGATATCTCTTTTTTTGGCCAAGTTTTAGCGAAAAAACTGTCAAAAAATGATGACGTCAAATTTTCAAACTCATTTTTTGACGAGTTTGTAGATATATATATTGACGATTACATGCGCTTGAGAAAGTTTTAGCTCATTCCCGGCGCCAAAATAGCAGTTTCAATATTTCCCAGTTGACTTAAAATGGTGAAGTCACGTGACCGACCTGACCTCGTATGACCCGATAAAAATCCGAGATATACAAGTTGTGAGACCTCTGGAGGATGCTACGTCCTGTATTTTTCATCTTCCTGTGAAAGCGCCTTTGGCACTGAGGGCGGCGAGGGTTAATCCGGCGCCGTGCTGAGGGTGGGTAGGGGAGGAAGGCGCCGTTTCTAAGCCGCCCTCCTCTCATTTTTTGCAAAATCTTTTTTCGTCATTTTAAGCATATAATCATTATTTTTCGGCACATGCAAACAATTTCAGATCCCGGTCGTTCAAGGTCAGGCCACCAGGTCACGTCAAGTCACCTTACTTCAGAAAAGTTCCAATGCTCGCCATAGCTACACCAACTGAACGTACTGCGGGTCAACTGCAAGCAACTGCGGGTCCCCGTACCTCCTTCATCCTTTTTGACGCTTTTACGTATGCCGCTAACCGCGTGTCGCTACGTGACCGAGGAGCCGAGATAAGCGGGAGAAGCGTTTTAACTCCCCCAGCCCTCCATGAAAAATTAGACTACTAGCACGGCGCAGGTTATGGTATATTCAGTCTGCAATTATAATTGTATTTTGTCAGACTAAAATTCCGGCTGTGCTAATATAGCTATTCTTCCAACTGTTACGCTTGCTTCAACGCAATAAAATAAAGAACCGGTGATTTGGTGTGTTGATATTTGTATCAGTTTGGTATGAGCGGCTCGTGGTGATTTTAGCAATCTTATTCTCATGCAGACTTCAACGAGACTCTCATCGAGGCCGTAAGAAAAAACGCCAGTCTCTGGGACAAACGGTCCAAACATTATATGAAGAAGAAGTCGGCGAAGGAACTCGACTGGCGAAATGTGGCTGAGGAGTGCCAGGCTGACGGTATGTCAGCCTTTTGTCTTTACAACTAAAATGATACCTACTTCCCCCTCCGACAATAAATTTTGCTTGAAAAAATAGCTTTTGGGTTAATTGGCGCGCTGGTTTTTAAAGCTTCATTGACAACAGGCATTTGGTTTTCTCAGTCTCCATTGTCAAAGAGAAATGGCGTCATCTGCGTGACTACTACCAAGCCCGTCGCCGGAAGAAGCCACCCAGTGGCTCATCGGCTAGGGACGCGCCCCGTTTGGGGCGGTACGGCCAGCTGCTGTCCTTCCTGGATCCTGTCACGCAACGTGGGGCGTACGTATCATAGCCCGCTAACGATATGCATCACGGATCACACGAATCACGAACTGGAGAATAACATATGTCCTTTTTGGGGGATTGCATGCATATTTATTTGCATATGTGCAAACTGCAAATTATAGCACATAAACGACTCAGCCACGTCTTTTATCTTTCAGCTCAACGTCTTCGCTCGCCTTGCGACCTGATGCATGCACCAATCTCCGAGCAAACCCAGCCATAACCGCGCCTGCTCCTGCATCCGTCAATGAGAACCAATCCTTCATTTATGTTGACGATGGGAACCAACTTATTGAGGTTGAGCTACAGAACAAACAGGAGAGCGGTTCGTCTTTGATCAACGTGACACGGGAGCTCGCGCGCTTAGACGGAGACACACAGCACGAAGAAGACGACACACAGTTCACACATTACCCAAACACAGAGACAGCACACGGAGATTTCGAAAGTTCACACGACAGCACACAGACCCCAACAACATCTGTCCTTAGTAATGACCAGGCCACGACACATAACACTCCAGTCTGTACCACCTCGCAGCGGGGATCCAAAAGAAAATCACCTACTCAGGATATTGATGCAGTTATCTTAGAAGAACTGTCAAAGGGGCGAAGCAGGGAACAAGATAGAGATTACACATTCTGCATGAACTTGTACGCAGAGCTGAAGCACCGAAGCGATGTGACGAAAAGAATCATTAAGCGTATCGTCATGGAAACACTCGACCGTCACCATGAGTGATCGCTGTCTTGCGAACCTGCATGTGTCCATTGTTGCAGCATCAGTTGTTGATCAGTTGTAGGTAGGTGTCGGTTAGGTATATTTATGTTTTGAATGTTGTCCCAATGTATACATTGGCTGTTATGCTATGTTTCAGCAGTGCCTGAAACATTTTTGTGGTGTTTCATTATGATGTTACCTCGAATAAATGGTTTTCGATGCAGCGTGCCGTAATGCAAAATCCTGGCTACGTGCCTGTGTTTTTGTTTCCGTAGCTATCTCATTTACGGAGTTAAACAGAGGCCGAAAACACACCCCCACCCCCGGCTTCGGTAATTGGGTTTAGCCGCCGGGCCCGGCCGGGTTAAGTTAAAGTGAATTATTAGTATACAATAGCCGTTTTCACGACGGCCATCTGGTACACATTTGGTGCACATCTGGTGCAGATTAGGTGCAGATTTGGTCAAATTAGGTTCAGTGTGTCTCTTAGTAGCTATCAGCTAGGGTTGCACTAATTGCTTATATGCCTGCTTTGTCATATTATCATGGAGCATCATCGATTAAACACTGAAATAAATTCATAAAATGAAGATATTTGCTGTAAAAGAGATTAGGTGCAGATTTGGTCAAATTACACTGTAAAAACCCATGTAAAAAACCAGCACCCTGTACCTGCTTATTTTAAGCAGGCTAACTGGGTGCTAAATTTTAGCACCCTTTTCGAAAAATAGCTCCCTGTGCCGGCTTATTTTAAGCACTCTAAATGGTTGCAGCCATTTAGGGTGCTTAAAATAAGCCGGCACAGGGAGCTATTTTTCGAAAAGGGTGCTAAAATTTAGTACCCATTTAGCCTGCTTAAAATAAGCAGGTATAGGGTGCTGGTTTTTGACATGGGTGCTAAACTTTTTTTTACAGTGTAGGTGCATTCGCCGGATAGCCCGTCGTGAAAACGGCTATTATCAATAAAAACAAATGAGACAAATGATCTGTCTATGATTCTCGTTTAAAGGTGCCCCGTCATCCACGACATGCGTTCAGACGAATGTTCCTGGACACTTCCGTATATGTTTGTTACACTCTAGCGACTGCGTCCCTGGCCTCCTGATTATAATGGTGCAGCTGTCCTGGCGACGCCGCGGACGTGACCATGTCCCAGTCTTGGCTGTCGTATCGACGCGACTCGGCGCGGCTGTGTGTCGACTGTCTAGCGGCGGATGCTGTCCATCTGCCAGGGCACGCTTCCAGCACCACTGAAGTAGCGCACGAAGGTTTCGCGCACCCTGGCTGCCTGCTGGGAGTGGTTGTGGATGACGCCAGCGTCCGTCACATCGCGAAGGCCAGCAGCCTCGCCTCTCTCCGCCGGAGCCACGGTGCAGTGCGCTCCCAGTCCACCCCGTGCCAGCTCATTCTGCCGCAGAACGTTGTGCAGAACGCAGGTAGCCTGCACGATCAGCTTGGTCGTGGCTACATTGCACGCGATCGGGCCGCGGTACACGCGCCAGCGTTGAGCCATGATGCCGAACGCATTTTCGCTGGTGCGACGGGCGCGACTCAGGCGGTAATTGAAAACTCGCCGTTCGTCGGTCGTGAGCGCTGCACCCGGGAAGGGCCTCATCAGGTGTTCACGGAGAGGGAACGCCTCATCTCCCACTATCACATGAGGAGCTACCTCTGCAGACCCAGGGAGGAGAGCCGGACCAGGGAGCACCCGCCCATCACCCCTCTGCGCTTCTAGCATTTGACCTAGGTCGCAGTCTCCCCACACTCCACCGTCGCTCTCTTGGCCATTGGCGCCCACGCTGACGTACGTGAAGCGACATTTCGCATCCACTACAGCCATCAGTATAATGCTACAAAAGCCTTTGTAATTGAAGTTGATGGAGCCGCTATTTATCGGTTTCTCCATCTGGACGTGTTTGCCGTCCACGGCTCCTATGCAGTTCGGGAACTGCCAGTGCTGCTCGAAGTCGAGCGCGTGTTGCCTCCACTGCTCAGGCGTGGGCGGTGCCAGGACGTCCGGGCCGATCACCTCCCAGATGGCGCGGCAGGTCTCGATGATGATGAGCCTGATGGTGGCGAACCCCAGGCGGTAGGACTCGGCCACCGACTTCATAGTCCCGCCAGCCGCGAAGAAGCTGAAAATTGGACGAAAATTAGCGTGTACTCATGTAAGCCCGTAGAGAGTGATAAGACTGCGACATTTAACCCAAATCGAACCCTTAAATCTGAAGTTTTAATTGTATACAAACCATTCAATAGATTTCGGTGCGAGCGATTTCAGCGAGCGTCATTTGAGCGAACCATTTTCGGCCACTGTCAGATAGATTTACATATATTAGATTTATCTAAAAGATAACATTTAAAATTTACACAATAAGTTCTACGCAATAATACTAATAATATGTTTGCATATATTAATTTTCTTATGGAAGTGAAAAATAAAATTTTATTTCCCGATGATTTATAACTTACCGCAACGTCACCGCCAGCCGTTCAGCAGCAGGAATGGGGTCTCTGAGATGAGTTGTCTGTTTGGTGATAGCCGGTTCGATTTTAACCAGAATCTCGTCGAACTCGATCACGCTCATGCGAAAATACCGGCGGTGGCCTTCTGGGTCATGCTGGCGGAGCTCCTGGACTAGGGTGTGGAACTCGCCACACTGCTCCCGTCGCAGTAGGACGGGACGGACCCACTGTCTCCGCTGCTGTCTCTCTCGAAGCCGGCGAATCAGCAACACTCTCCGCAGACTTTCGTTATTCATTGATATTCATTGATTTGGCATAAATGTAGAACAGTAAAAAAGTAGAGTATCGTTAAAAACTGCAATTAATGCGATAGTAAACGCGATAATGGCCGTCGACGACAGTTGTGAGCAATCTGGACAAGGCACAGAAAACGTTTTCACGCAAATTCTGCATGAATGCAAAAGACGCAAAGACGCTGGAACGATATCTTGCAAAAACCGACAAAACGGATGAAACGCACGTGACAAAAACGCATAGTGTAGCCAGGCTTATATGTCATAAATGATGAAGGAACGCTGGAACGTAAAAGTCAAATCAAGAAAGCAAATGCTTATGAAAACTGCTTGTGACCATTTTATCAGCAAAACAGGGTTCAGTAAGTCTCAAAAGCAGTTTTCCTACTAGGTGTGCGTTATAGGAGCCACTTACCCTACGATCAAGCGCACCATTCAATACAATTACCTACCGTAAAACTCCAATGCCAGTCCACTCGATAAGAGCAATGAGCACTATCCCTTCTTCGCGCTGTCACACGCGCCCAAACATCAACCACCAAATGCCCCAACACCGGTGTGTCGTTTCGTCGCACAGCGCGCAGACTGTCACAAACGCTGCACATGATTGGCGCAGAACTGCGCATGCGCGAACAGCCGAACAAGTATGGCTAAACTCCGGCTTTACTCCAGTTAGCCGAAGGACACAGCCAGCTTGATCGGCCCGCGCTCCGCCCAAGTTAAGCCTGTTTTGGATGCGTGGGCAGATGTCGGGCTGAGCTACTGCTATCCGCACGTGGGCATAGCTGCGGCATGCCCAAGCTCAGCCCTAGTAAAAAATACATTGGTTTTGATCAAAGTGGGCAAACCCAAGCTAAGCCCAAGCTGCCCGACGTTTGCCACAATTCAGCCCAAGTGAATTGCTGGCTGGGCTGCGCCGTGTTTGTTTAGATGAATCTTCCCCACCGAATCCCATCTCAGTGGTTTAGGGGCCCACCCTCTTCGCCTTCCGCTGATATAGAAACTCCACCCTTTCATGGTTTGGCTTTCCTGATTTTCATTTCATTATTCCTCGCCAATAGTTGTCAGTGTACATTAAGCCAATCACCTCCCTCCCTCCCTTCCTCCCTCCCTCCCTCCCTCCCTCTCTCTATTTTTTTCTCTCTCCCCCTCTCTCTCTCTCTCTCTCTCTCTCTCTCTCTCTCTCTCTCTCTCTCTCTCTCTCTCTCTCTGTCGTTCTCTCATTCCTGCACCCAAAAATACGTCACTAACTCCTTCCAAGATATGTCTTCATTTACTACATTACTTCAATAATTCCCGTCAAATCCTATAAGCTCTTTTCCACCTGCCGACCTGCCCTAATGACCTGGCTCCCTAAGCCCCGCCCCATTTCGTGACGTCGGACCTCTGCCACTTCCTGTGACCCAGCGCGGCGGGTCCGACGAGGTCAATGACCCGGGGGCCGCTAGTCAAAGCTAATGACTTTTGGCAGGACAGGCGTGTTGGGGTCGCACTAACTAGACATTTCTGCCATGGGTGATTTGGGTTAGTAAATGTCACAGGTGAATGCAGGAGTATATAGGGCATGTGAGCAGTAAATCGTGTAATGGGAAACTTAAAGGGACCCTCCCACCTTAACATTAGTTTTGAGTTGAGATAGCCAAATTGGTGGCCATGGCCTGAAAATACCGGTTTGGGCACTCACAACATCGAAAAATGCTTTAATTCGGAGATATGGAATTTCAAACTTGCAGTTTTCGGATTCTAAGGGGCTAATGCATTGGTATGCCCCCTTAGAATTTGTGACGTCAGCGGAGATCTAACGATTTTTAAATCTTTTACTAAAACGTTTGGTAGCACGCGGTGGTATATGCTGCTTTGCGCGCAACAAATGCCGCACTTTCAAATAAAGTCGCTAGGAACAGCGGAGATCCCAAAAAGTAAACAAAAGTAAAAGTCTAATATCTTGAAAACCGGTGAATATTTTTCGATGAAATTTGGTAGATATTCGTTTTCGCTCTTTCTGAACCGAGCGACATCACTTTCATGCCAATTCATTAACTTTTTTGAAGGTGGGAGGGTCCCTTTAACCGAAACGAAAACTCATTTGATTATAGGAATGATCTGAGCTGATGGCATGCGCCACATCATTTGATATATCATGCGGGCCTCGAATGATCATGTTATTACACCAGAGATAAGTGTCATGATAATTGTGTCAATACGGTGACTATGCTAATTTCATTTCCTGAATTACGTTATGTGGACATGACCCATTTTCTGTTATCGACGTACTCGGAAATCGGGCAGATAATGACAATGGTGTTGCTGCTGCGGCTGATGAGAGTATGATAGTGACGGCGAAGTGCGTAGCTACTCATTAAGGTGTATCGACGAATTTATATTATTTTCTACTTGCAAGGGCATTTGATTTTATTTAAGTTTCTAAATCTATTCTATCGCTAAGCTTCTCTTCAGCTTTATCGAAGCGTCACAGCTCCCGGAACGGCCATATTTACCAGCTCAATGTCGTGTTGCTCATATCAACTTACCATCACAAAGGAATCTCCGGTTCACTTCCTTGTTGTTTTTATACACTAACTAGAGGGACAGCATTACGCGCAGCGTAAAGAGGGACAGCATTACGCGCAGCGTAATAAATCAAGTTTCATTAAAATCGGCCCAGTAGCGGGCGAGTTATTGCCAGAATAAATTTGGCGTCTCCTCTTGGCCGGCGGTGCCCTGTTCCGGTATTCATTGCCAAAGGTCAGTGACCTTCCGGCTCTGATTTTGCTAAGTTTTCGCAGCGAACAATCTTAGCCTAAGGCGCGTGCTCTCTGCTCGGCGCCGGCCGCGGCCCAAAATTCCGCAAAGATGCGCCCGCCACGTGCAAACCGCCGAGCGCACCCCCTCCAAAATTTAATACAACAAACAGATGCACGCGTCCGACTTCAGTCGAAAATTTCACCCCCGTAGCTCGCACAGTTCCACAGCAATAGCCCGCCAAGCGTGACGGACGCGTCACATACATACCTACGGACATGATAACTGTAGTTCGCTTTTTTTTTCAAAAGGACTCTGGCTCCAAGCAGGGGGGCGACACGGCTATTCGCGCAATGTATTAATTTATGGGCCGCGCGGGGCCTCGCGATGACGCGGCTGGAGGCAACTGCTCAGCGCGCTAGGATACTTCTGGCGGGGCGGGGCGCTGAACGGTGTGCAATGAATGGGTTATGGTCGGGCCGACAGAGATGAGGTATTGAATTTGAATTGACATCAGCAATCGGGTGGGGAAGGAGAACGTTCCTAATCGAGCTTGGGTTGGGGAAAGCCGAAAATATCGCGATCGGCTCATAGCTCAGACAGGGCCGGGTGCCGTACCATGTGTTGTATACATATTTAGGCGGGCAGACAGAGATGAGTTATTGGATTTAAATTCACCTTACCATCGGTTTCTGGTGGGGTTTGAAAATGGTTTTAGTCAAGCTCGGAGTGGGGCAACCCACTGGCGGATCCAGGGGAAGGCATTTGGGGCAAATGTCTTCCCCCACATTGGTAGCGCCCGAAATCGCTTTTCGAGAATCAAAGAAAACTTCACAACTTTTCTGAGGAAATGTTGGTTAATCACACTGCACAGCAGTGCGCAAGGAATCGAAATCAGAGTTTTTTTTTAATTAATTCCGAGAAACCTTTTTGGGGTAAGCCCCCGCAGTGTCCAAGACCGCTTCCTGGATCCGCCAGTTGTGAATAAGTCACGGTCGATACCGAGCTTCGGCGGGACCAGGCGCTGTATACGTTGTTCTTTCAATGAAGAGGTGGACAGACACCTAGCCCCACATCCTACTGCTATGCCCGTGCTTCTGTGGGTGAAGCACTAAAGCATCACGGAATCCCACAGGACCTGCGAGTCGACGAGGTGGGCCGCTTTGGCCGCCGGGTACTGCAGCTCCCTGGAGTTGCCTGGGACCGATGGCAAAACAACAGCTCCGGCGGTGCCCCTATGGGCCGTAGTAATTAGCGAATTCCTGTAATGTAGAGATCATATCCTCAATAATCTCCATTACCATTTTATATTCCTAAACAGTATGACAGAACAATTATGCTTGCCTACGTTCAGGCATTACCTCTGATGGTCATACGTCCAGTACAACATGTGTTGTCTGTCAAACAACAATCGACGACGGGATCTCTTCTCACTATCTCTTAAGCCATCGGTTGTCAATTCACCCACCCCGTTTCCCTAAAAATAGACGGTCAGATTCGGCCTGGGTCCTTACGACCCCTCTAGATTCGCCAGAGACGGGATCGGATCGCCGTTATTGCACCCGTCTTAGTGTCTTTAATACTATGACAGCTTCGACCACGGACTTCGGACGGGGTGATCGTTCCACGAATGTACGAACCAGTACGAACCATCCAGGCCTAGAGTGCATCGAGGTTTAAAAGAATGCAGTCTGTAGATCAATAAACATAACAATGGTGGTATACAACCACATTAAAATATCTCCCCGGCTCCCGCAACGTTCCAACGCCCCTCCGTTATGCATTCGCCTTGTGTGTCCGCCGAGCCGGCTTGCCTCCAATGACGTCATCGGCCGGCCGGCGGCGTTCAAGGTCAAACGGCTGGTGTCCTTACCTGGAGTTCTATAGCCTTGGCTCCAAGTACGTTTTTCGAAAAAGCACGCGTTTTAGCGACCAAAACGAGCAAAAACTGAACCTGAGAAACTCGAACGTCGCCTTATTTTAAAGGGACCCTCCCACCTTAACATTAGTTTTGAGTTGAGATAGCCAAGTTTGCGGCCAGGCTCAGAAACCACCATTTATCCTGGTCGCAACCCCCGCAGCTTTATGGTGTTCAAGAAATTTCTTCCCCTTACTTGCAGGGTGGGACCAGCGTGGTCCCTATCTCTTAACCATTACGGGAATCTGATGACGTCATCAGGCTTTCGAACGTCCGTTAAATGTTTGACTAAAACGTTTTGTAGCACGCGGTGGTATATGCTGCTTTGCGCGCAACAAATGCCGCACTTTCAAATAAAGTCGCTAGGAACAGCGGAGATCCCAAAAAGTAAACAAAAGTAAAATTCTAATATCTTGAAAACCGGTGAATATTTTTCGATGAAATTTGGTAGATATTCGTTTTTGCTCTTTCTGAACCGAGCGACATCACTTTCATGCCAATTCATTAACTTTTTTGAAGGTGGGAGGGTCCCTTTAACATGTGAAATATT